TTACCCTTTTTAGGTTTTTTTTTTTTTTTTTTTTTTTTTTTATGGTGGGGTGCGTGGGGGTGTAGAACGTTCAGTGGCTTGTAATTCTGTTGGATCTCGATCTTGTAGGAATTTTGATGGTGACCCTTTATCTCTATTTAACAGGACTCAGAAATTCGACACAAGAAAGATGAGTGCTATGCCGACATAGAGAGGTAGAATTTTCATACTATCATAATTGTATGTCTTTGCTGAAATTATATTCTTTTGGTTCGTCACTTTGATGGGTGTTTAATAGACTTTGATGGGTGTTCAATCGAAATTATAGTGCAGTTTATAATTCTTGATTTTATGGTTTTCGTGCATTTATTTGTTGCGAAGTGGATTGTGGGGTCAACATTGCAAGTCCTCGGTGATAGCCAAGGAGAATTGTGCTTTACAGTGCTTGTCTCCAGTCTGTTATGAGCTCATCTACAAGAGTGATCCGGTGCGAATTTAATGAATTTCTATTTGCACTTATGGCAGCTTATGCTTATTGTGGATGTGGTTTAGCTGAATGAGTTTATTTGATTTTGGTTTGGGTTTTTTCGATTGCAGTTGGAAGAAGGAGAGAAAGATTACGTGAGGAGTTCAGAGTACAAGTACTGTATGCACAGGTAAAAATCACATATATCTATCTCCTCAATAAGATTGTCTATATATGTATTGATGGCACTGAAATTGAAAGGATAAAAATACTATGATTAGGGTTCTAAGCATCTAGTCTAATGACACTGGGAAGAGAGAAAGCATAAAATTACGAACTAGAATCCTATCATTTTGCTAACAGGATAGAAATCAATATTTAGATTTTCAGTGAAGAAGGGGGATCAAACTATTGTTGTTTGTTGTCTTTGGTATGAAGATTTTCTTTCATCGCGCCTTTTGACATAACAGCAGAAATTAAAAATTAAAAATTAAAAGTGGGTCGAAATGCAGATAAAGAAAATATTGCACTTCACTATACTATTGGGTTGATAATAGTATATTGGGTTTTTTTTTTTTTTTTTTTTTTTTTTTTTTTTTTTTTTTTTTTTTTTTTTTTTTTTTTTATTTTGTTTTACTATTTTTTTTTCAATTAGTTTGTTATTTTATTCGATTATTACTTTTTGCCCATGATTTTTTTCATGACTCAAAAATTTGTTTCGTCGTTTTTCACTGAAATTCATAATTAAGACATAGTTTGAGTCCTTTTTTTGAAAATGAACTTTGATAAAAGTTTTTTTGTTTTTTTTTTTTTTTTTTTTTTTTTTTTGTTGTGTTGTATTTACTGATAGATATGTAATGCGAGATGTAAGTGTGCACAGATTTAAAAATTGAAATTATAAAATTCCTATAATTTTATTCAGCTGATAAGCTTTATCACTTTGAAAGGAGTAAATAAAATAGGTTTTTTAGAATTTTGTGTTTATGCATATGTTTCGTTTTTGCACTGGCTGCATATTGGTGGCAGGCAATGAATTATCGGTGGGTATCTGGTTCTGAAGAGTTCTTCATAACTGCTCTCTTTGACATGTGTGGTTTATAATTACAAAGTCGATCTGAGGGTACAAATACACTTTAAGATTTCTTCTCAAGCTCTAGACCTAAAAGAATTGGGGCCAGAAGAAGAATTATATTTGATATCAGATATCTGATAAAAGTTGTTAAATTGGACAAGTGCCAGTTTATATTTGTCAAATGAATTTTTTCATGGTTTCCTTCTTGTATCACTGTATATAACGAGATGCATCAATCTTCTTGGATTGTAGTTGCCTGTAGTCTATTTGGAGCTCTCTCTTGGGAGCTAGATGCATGGCATATACCTGAGAGAGGTATTCAGAATCTTTGGAGGATTCTTCCATTCGGTCATTGCTGTCCTAATAGTAGACCACCCTTTTAGCCTTCTTTCTCATTATTATGCCTGTGAGGAATGGTAGATTCAGGTGGTGGAAGGATGACAGAGGAGATACGAAAGGTAGCCAGAAGATAGTCTTTCCTGTGGGGGAAGAATTGACTTGTTAAAATTCGTAGTTCTTATGATTACCTCTAAGTTGATTTGAAATACTTATGAGTGACCTATGTATTACGTAAACCTTTTTAACTCCCTCTCCTTGACATGGTTCTTGATTAGTCTGGCCACAGAGACACCCTCCAAATTGAGTGTGAATGTCCAAAATTTGGATGGAATCAGTTAAATATCTTTTCTGGTTGCATCGTGTTGATTTTCAGCGAGTCTCCATATTTTTCGTACTTGTTCCAAGTGATGATATGCAATAGCTTTTGAAATGCAAAACTGGGTAGGGATTTAGAAATCCTTGTCTGGATTTAGTAGTTTAGAAGTGTTAGGTGTTTTTTCCTTTTGCAGGCTGTCTGAAAGATCTTAATTTCTGCATGTTTGCATACTACTCATTATTAAAACTACTCATCTTTGATTCGACTAATTCATTGTGCCTACATTTATAATGCTCCATTGTTCTCATGACTTCGTTTTTGGCAGGGTCTCTCTTGGAGAGAGTCTAGATGGTATTAAAGGTTCCTTCGACTTCTAGCAACAACTTGACAGTAACCCTGCACGACAGTGCGAGCGTGATTGTGGCAGGAAATTTGGTTTACCAGGAAAGCTGATCAAATAATGGTCGGGGAATGCCGGAAAAGGCAGAAGCAAGACATTTTGTATATTTGGTGTGTGTATCGAACAGCTAAGAACTTGAGATGTTTTGATAGTCTTCAAGAAAACCTAAAAAAGATACATAGCTACGAGACTTCCAATTTGAAGGTATTCAATTTATTGTACTAGAATATTTTAGTGAGAAATTTCTATATGAGATGTCCTAGCCGCAGACGATTTGCACGAAGCCAATGAAACTTCTTTGAAGAAGACATTCAAAGATACAGGGCAAGCCAATAACAAATCTTATACTAAATGCTAAACAGCAAGAGTTAATTGTATCTTCTTATGAGCCGATTCCCTGTTTTATTCAGTACAATTAAGAAGTTATCGATTGACAATCAATTAAACAGGCTTGCAATAATGCCAGCTATCTTTAAATGTAGAGGAAAATAAAGTTTCTATTGTCTTTGTTGAAACATGACAATTACCAGGGTCACTAGGGATGCATAGACTGAATTCGGCAACTTTTGTACAGCTTTCCCGACGCCTGGGACGTTCTCTGTCGTCTTCTTTGTCAGTAAAGCGACTGTTGGAGCCATAGCCAGGGTAGTGATTAATCCCCGAGTCACAGTGACGAACGTATCCTGGGTTATTCTGAGCACAAACTTTGAAAATTCTTCACGATCGAGTTCACCATCGAGGTTGATATCACTCTCCTACACGCAGAAGAAATCAGATTGCGAGTAAGAGAGAGGGGAACAACAATAATTTTGGTCATCAACACATGACAGAAAGACAAGCCCATTCAACCCATTCCCCAATTTCCAAGAAAATAAGCAATGCTAGAATTATAGCGTTGTTCTCATTTTCACATTTATCATTAAGAGCTTGAATATGTATCCACTATTGACGCACTAAGTTACAAAATCAGCATCCAATCAAAATTGTAGTCATTTAACTTGTCTTAGAACCGCATGGTCCAAACAAAGTAGAACTTAAGTCCCCAAATTCCCATTGGCCCTCAGATGTGTTAACAACAAAATGTAGTTATGAACCAGCTACAATACAGTAGACAATAGATAGCACTATTTTGAATATGTTGAATGATACAAGTAAGACATCCAACAAAATATTATAAAACGTCTTGTTACATAATCTAGTTTTTTCAAGAAAGCACGCTTATCCATGAAAACACAAATAAGCACACATGATTGGTCAGGCAAACCCTTAAATCAATACCTGGAAGGGCCTGGACTATCGACTATATCTGAGGTATGTCCAACTAGTTATAAAGAATTTGAGAAACAATTGCATTTGATTGTATGTATTCCAAATATCAGATGTGACTGTGATGAAAATAACGGTGATAAAAATATATCCAAATTTCAATAAAAAGTTGGGAAGGCAGTAAGATGGAATGTCCTGCCCGAGAGGACTCTGCCATTGCTGGATATGGACAAAACTAATACTGTTTGAGTCGAAGTCAGCTTGATTTATGTATTCTATGATTCTATCATTTATAAAATATATTTAAACGTGAATATTCATGTAACTTACACACTCTTCATAATGTAATATTCCTCATGTGATTGTCACACGTCAGGTGTGGAGGCTCCTGATTTGTGCATGATTTGGGGATTTGCTTAATTTTGGCTGAAGTAGAAAAATAGGCTTAGTAGCCTCTTAAAATTACAATTTGAATATTGTCTGACACTTGGTGGTGGATGTACACGACAAATTGAATCTGAGCAAACTCTTCTGATCAGGTATACTGTAGAGGTCTTGGACCATTGAATTGAGACTACACATAGTACAAGTATCTTCAAGTTTCATCAACCAATATAAAATCAAATTGATACATTTTACATAGGCTTATGTTAAGACAGGAAGACTCATTTAGAGGTCAAGTCACCCACATTTGAAAATTAATGGAATTCTCGATGGACAGGCAGAAAGATTGGTGATTGTGTAACAATCCATGATGGAATGCCATAACATCCCAATCCACTTTCGGATGATTATGCAATGACTCGTTTTCGGATGTAAGAATGTGATAAGGTTCTAATTAAATATGGGTAGCGAATTACCCAAACATGAATGTACAGGGGATCCCTTCAGATCTAACAATTGAAGAAGGAAAAATAACTCCATCTGTCCTGATAAAAAAATGTGCACTAGGTGCATGCTTGTTGGACATTATAATAACTTTTAACCTTTTTTCTTCCTTAGTAATGTCCAATGCTATCCAACCTCTTACCAAAGATGCCATAGGGGGTCGAACATTGAAAAAGAAAAGTGGGGGTGTTCATAATAAGCATCAACGCCATCTATGCACTTAGATGAAGAGTGATTCAATGATTAATTGCTGCTATTTAATTTATCAACAGCAAAGCTCTTAAACCTGTACTGTGAACAAATTTCGTGCATATGTATATATATTTTTTTCATTAACTCAGGATGACATTGCCTTTAAAAATTTCAAGAATGGTATCTTATCTAAAGAATAAAAAACTCTACAACATACCTGCATCAGAATCTTAATTTGCTCCTTTGAGGGAGGATCAAAATGAGGCCCAGGTATATGCTTATTAATATCACTACAACATGGAAACAGTTGTATACGCTAATTAGCATCCCAAATTACTTAGAAAAGGGATAAAATTAAAAGTAAATTCTGTGGCTTATTAATGGATACAAAGTAATATGCAGGAAGAGCATCTTACTTGTACACAAGTAACACAGCAATATGGAGCTCCTCAAATGTCATATTGGCCTTTCCAGTTTCATTCTTGAAATGATCAAAAATTTTATCAGTTATCTTTCTAATCTGCCTTTCTTTCCATTTGTTACCTGCATGAAATACAAGTACAAGCATACATAAGTTAGGATTATTATTTGACTGTCGATGATTCTGAATACAAAGCCTGCATCCAAGGAAAAAAATTTATATATTAGTAAATCTGTTAATGTATAGAGTGTCTGGATGCATATATTTGCCCAAGTTCAATCGTGGAACAACACAATAAAATTTCCACCAGGTTCAATCAAGTAACTTCCAATTTCAAATAGGTGATTTTCATGTATTAAACTATGGATTCATGCAAGCTAAAACTCCCAGGTCACTTTCCCTAATATCATGCTGTATAGACTACAAATTGCCACAAAATCAAATTGAAGCACAATGACTTCCTTATCCAACGATGAATTGTACATATAACAGTGTTATAAATAGCCAGTGTTCCAATCGGGAGAAAATCATTTCACCAAAACATCCAGAATCTCTAGGGAATCAGCCAAACTGAAAAAGAGTTCTTTTGAAGTTATATTGACTTGAAATAGCCAAACAGAAAGGCATATTTTATATTCAATGACCAAATTTTCTTTCATCTATTAGACAACTTTATCCTACTTTCTAAATACTCACTTAGCTATGTAAAAGAAAATATGGTCGGATAGCACGTCTAGTTCAGACTACAGAGTTACCTGCAAAGCATTTGAGTACACATCTAGATGGTTCAAAAGGTTTTAATGTTAGAAAGTGATTGAAATGTTCTGCCAAAACTTGTTAAAGAATGGAAATAAACAACTATTTCCTAATGGTAAATGCACAAATTTTTTCCTATTAACCTATTTTTCTCCCACGAAATTTGCCATCGAGACCACTTTCTGCTAGATGATTAGAAAGACTAACAACCTAAGCTCAATATACTCCATAACACACCATTGCCATTGATAAAGAGCTTATTGAACAAAAAGATGCTCCCACATTTACAATCAGCACTATTATCCGGCCGAAACTACATATTCAACTATTCTTGTTTTAATTAGACTATTTAGATAGATAAACAAATGTTCAATTATAGTAATGAAATAGATTATTTACAGATCCAGTGATATAAATAAAATTCTCTAAAATAGTCAAAACCTTGATATGAATTAAATTTCGTTTCCAAAACTACTCATCTAGAAATCGAATTAAATACACAGTCACAAATACTTATCCATGAACTGAAAAACAATGCGTCATGTGATTATAAATCGATGGAGCAGTGAAAGTCAACAAAGAGATGCGTGCCAACACGATACAATATAAAGAAGGAAATGAAATCACTACAAAAATCGTAGCGAATTTCATGTAGAATCGTGCCTTGGAGTTTCTCGAGGATTTGTCCCATCGCTTTCGAGATTTGACGCAGAATATGCTGTTTATCAGGTGAAGATATACAGAGACAAAGAGAGCTTCCAAATGGCTGCTTGTTAGTAACTACTGCACGTCACATTTTTTACACTTTCGCAAGATGGGGTCAATGATGAATGCACCTTCTCTTTTTCTTTCTATATTGGCTCTTTAGGGCCTTGGGATGACTTTTGAAAAGTCAAAAGGAGCTTTTGAGAGCCAAAAGCCACTTTTGTACCGCTTGAATATTTTTGTTTAAAATGCTTTTGGAGGTTAGAAGAGCTTTTAGAGGAAGCTGGTTTTTTTGACTTCCTCCAAAAGCACTTCCGTAATGGGAAGTGATTTTAAATATTAATTTTCAAACAAAAATTAAAATAGTTTTCTCCAAAAGCTCTTCTACAAGAAGCAAAAGCCAAAGTAAAAGCCGTGCTAAACGGTCCCTTAATAAAAATATCCTCACCGTTGACAATAGCAGACTTGATTTTTTTATTTTTTATTTTATGACAAGGGAATCGATAGCCATTACTGACACGATCCGTCCCAAATCACCCTAATAGACTCGACATGTATTGTTCGCCGATGATAGATATCGGCTAAATGCCGGACCCATCACAAAAGCAACTATAATTTGTTTTAACTGTGACATAATTTTAAGAAAATTTGACAAAGTTTCCTCTAAAATATAGATTAAAATTACCTGAAAATTTATCAACTTTTCAAACCAATACATATTATTTAAAACAAGGTGCATCGGCCCTTTCAAACACAACTATTCAAAATAAAACGCGTTGGAATGGAATTTACACTTCTTTACAAACCAGAGTACTCCAAATGCATTATTTATATAAAATTATGTAGTGAGTCCATCATATAAACTGACAAAAGATGTATCTACCTCGAAAATTATGAACTGTATAAACTGACAAAAAGAAAGATATAAATAACAACTGAGTGGCTCAATTTGATAATTCAACAGCCTCCAATGCGGCTCAACATAGCTAATGTCTAATAAGAAAAAAGGGAAATGAAATATATGAGTTTGTAACTCGGTGAGTGGATAATTTTGTAAACAATATACTTTTTCCATTTATGCTAACTTTCTAAAAACTGGTTTATAATAAAAATATCATTACATAGTTCTTTAAGATAAAATCTTTATTCTTTAAACTGAATAAGTTAAATTCTTTATTCTTTAAACTGAATAAGCTAAATTCTGTATTCTAAAATTTGATAAGCTTTATAATACTGAAAAATCGCACCAAAAAGATACCCGGAATGACTATACTCATGTATCAGTTAGCACCGATAAACATGGCAAAACTATCCAATTCTGAAATTCTGGTCATACGCGCGCAGAGCTATCTGGTCATACACCATGGAAATACATTTACAATAGTGTAGAGCAGAAAAAATCACCATAACTAATCATACACTGTGGATACACATTCACACCAGTGCAAAGCGGGTAAAATCACCTGAGTACTTTCTGGTGGTTTTTAGAAAATAACTTTAAATATACTGAACTATTTAAAATTGAAATAATATGCCAGTGAAATAATTTAATTGAATTGAATTTAACTTTAAAAATAACTGTTTATAAATCAACTTTATTTTAAAAATTGTGCTGTCAAATCAACTGTATGAATTAATAAATTTTCTAAATACTAATTTCTGAAAAATAAATTTATATCCACTCACTCGATACGAGCTACAGACTAGGCCGGTCAATAGGCTTTTCCAATTTCTTCATCACTACCTGAAATACGTTACAAAATAACTAATTTAACCACTACTAAAATCAAGAAACCTTTTATCTCTAATATATAATAATTAAACTAAATTTCCCGAGACTTGCAAAATTTTCCTAAATTTCCTTTAATCAATTTTTAATAATTCTTACTGCCTAATACCTTCACAATTACGCTAAATTTCCAAATTTAACTTCATCCCAAACATAAAAACAATTTCTTCTTCTATTCTTGTGAAACTTGAATTCTCTCTTGCACTAATTTAATTTACATTTTGTTCATTATATTAATCGTTTCAAGTGTGTATCTCATTAATACTATAATTTCCCGAACTATCTTTACTCTAGCATTCAATTAGAAATGTAGGGATTACTAAAAATAGTATTACTTTCCGTCAATCTGAAATTTGAATTAACCCAACTACTTAGAATCCTACAAAATTTAATATAAATCATACCATAGAATACTTACTTCTCTACCTCTCTAAGAAATGAAGAACATGAAGAATCTTTTCCTTTCTCTCCTTTTTCGATTTTTTCTGGCTTCTGCAGTTTAGCTGTCCAAGTCCCCCCACCTTGTGTGTATAATATATATCAAAAAACAAATGAGACATTAGTTAATAATTTGCCACTTGTCCTCCAATAACCCAATTTTGCAATCAAATCCCTTCTTTTATGTTTTGTATAAATTCTAGTGATTAATCTTTCCATACTTATAAACTAAATCCCCCAAGTTTAAATTATGGCCATTTTAAATCCTTAAGTAATATCGATACCAAAATAAACCCAAATAAAATAATTTGGTCAATTAAGTCTCAATCAAATTATTTATTTCATTTAAGTCCCTATTTGACCTTGACTTTGAAAATTCAACTCTTGACTTTTGATAAATAATATGGGTTGTAATAGTTACCTTTCGGGTGCGCATTGAATAAACAAATCACGCTAGTCAAGTAAATTGCACTAGGCAAGTTCGATATGACAGGCTCGACTGAGAAAATATTGATAGGGGGAATCGAACTCGTGATCAAAGGCCTCTGCGTTTATCTACTCCACCAACTCGATCACCCCATAAGGGGCATACTGGACTAGATTTAATTTCATCGATCGTAGTAGAACTTGGTAAGAAATTTTAAAATGATCATTAAAGCAAAATTTTATAACAATTTCACAAATGATACCTAAAATCATGCCCCTGTGATTGAAAATGAGATTTAATTTTTAAAAAATTGATTATTTCATATGGTGGTTGTTTGAGGTTTTGAAATGTTCTGAAGTTGTTCGATGAAAATCCTGAAAGAGATTTGGTTTTATGGACTGGATGATCCGAGGGTTTGTGGATAATGTGATTCGGAAGAAAGGACTGTAATGTTTATTTATACGTGTGAAGGTAAACAAGTATCAGAATATTGTACAAAATGGTTTCTACTTCTGTTTTCCATAGATCTCATTTTCTACGGTTTTAACCAATCGAGTTATGATTGTGGCATCGATTAGATGGATGAAAGGTGAGGCAATGTGATAGATGATTTTTAAAGAGCTCTGCCCAATCAGCTGATTCTGTGAAGTTACTAGGATTATAAACCATCTCCTTAGCTCTATAAAGACCTTCAAGAACACTTTTCAGTCAATTCCCATTAATTGATCATAACGATATCATGGAAATGCTGCATGGACCCATAAACCTTTGTTTTTCATTTCGATTGGTATTTCACCTGGTATGGTCATCCTCGTCACAGCAGTAGGGCAGAAGTAGGGGCTTTAGAGCTTGACTAACAAGTGAGAAAGTTGATTTTGAGAAAGAAAAGGGATGCCCTAGATGCAATCAAACTAAATCCTCAAACTGAGAACCATGGTAGCAAGGTTGTCTGTTTGGGTTGACAAGTTAGGCAGTTGAGCTTGTGAAGAATTTGTAATCGTCCCCGATACATAAATTTGGTCATCGACAGGAGCTTGTGGGATGCGCAGAATGCGGTGATTATGTTGTTCAAAACCAACAACAATTAAAAAATAAAAAAGGGGTCCATGCGGTCGCATGGCCATATGCCGAGACCAAATAATGACCATATGTCAAGACCATTTGGTCTCGGCATGGTTGAACCATGCGACCGTATGGTACTATTTTTTGGTCGTTGGAGGCTATTTTCTCCCGTTGTAAATTTAAATTTGGTGACTTTTGGCTTCAAGTTTGGTACCATTTTGTGAATGTGGTGTATGCCTATATATATTGGATTCATGTTGAAGGCAAAAACATCACAAAAATATCAAGGTTCCATATTACTTCCAAAATCAGAGATCAAAGTCTTTAAAGCCATATTCATATTCATTCTTTGTGTTCTTCATGTTTTCTAGAATTTACACTTGTGCTTTAGTGCTTAAATCCTTGCAAGGCTTGTTATAATCCTGCAAACCATTTTCCAACAACCTTCGAAACATCTCAAATTCATAGGAGAAGGGGCAAATATCATTTGAGGACAACGATATCGTGTTTAAGCCATTCATTGATACAAATTCGTGATTATCTTGTTATTGGCATTTTCGGTTCATATTTTATGATTTCTACTCAAATTAGATGAAATTTCTCCATCAATCTCAAATGATATCTCTACAATGGAAAGCGAGACAACGATGGCAACAATCAAACTCATGAATCAAGACTTGGTACGGTTTGATTGGTTCGATAGAACGAACTGCACTCGATGGAAAGAAAAATTGAAGTTTCTTCTCATTGCACTAAAGATCTTTTACATCCTAGATCCGGAATTGGTGCCACTACCAAAACCAACAAATGGAAAAATCGAAGCGGTGAGGAATGAAAGATAAAAACACCAAGATGAGTTAATATGACGCGGTCACATTCTCAACGCATTATCGGATCGTTTGTATGATTTATATACAAACACAATTTTGGCAAAGGAAATTTGGGATGCGCTCGAAAATAAGTACAAAGCAGAAGAAGGTACAAAGAAATATTTAATTTCTTATTACTTCGATTTTAAATTTTTAGACAATATTCTCCTTCTTCCCTAAATATATGAAATGCAAGTAATTGTCAATAAGTTGAAGGCGGTAAAAATTGAAATGCCGGAGACCTTTCAAGTAAGGGCTATAATTGCCAAACTTCCCGAAATTTGGAAAGGATACCGGAAGAAAATAATGCATAGTTCTGAAGATTATTCTTTGGAAGAACTGCAAAAATATTTTCAGATTGAGGAAAAGTCGAGAATACGTGAAAAAAGTGATTCTCATGAGGGTACTTCCAAAGTAAATGCTGTAGAAAATTTCGAACCGCCAACCAAATCTAACAAAAAGAAGCCTTCAAGGAACCTTAGTAAGTTCAAGAAGAACGCCAAAG